GCTGCTTCTGGATCTACTCGACTTACGGACCTCGAAGAAGAGTGCCTATACCTCAACGGTCGGCAGCGCATTTGTGACTCCTCTTGTGTTAAGATTGTCCATTGGCGGCGAAGAACACTTACTATCAGGTGGCTTGCTAGCTCGTTTGCTTCTTTTCGATACAAAGAACTGCATGTCAACGTGTTATATGTCTCATTGCAGAACTTTTGTATAACGATAGAGGGCAATAGAACATTTACATCCCTTGCTGCACCCAACATAAACTTTCACTACATCCTGGGTTGACTGGTAGCGAATGCCTTTGGGCATTTAGTCCGCCCTTTGTTACCTTTTTTCTTAAAGTTAGCAATAAACCATAAATAAATAAATAGTCCTCTATGAGACACCAGTGCGGAATAGCAGACTTCACATATCTCCACATAGTTTTTTATCAATCCGAATATAAACGGGTTGCTTCACGATGTTTTCATACACCATTCACCTTGAGGTTGTAACTCACTTGTAGCTCCAATTAACAGTTTTATTGGCGCCGGCACCAGAATTTTAAATTAGTCTTTCGATTGTACTGAACTATAGCGGGTGGCCGCTCAGTGCTTTCTATATTTACAAAAAAGTTATATGAGAAAACCAATTAAACATTTAATATAATATGCTACTCATATCTTAATGAATTAATATCAAAAACTCTTTCAAAGATTTTTATTACTTTATGATGTAAATACAATTAAACATTATAATTTTAATGTACAAAGATATTTATAAATATATTTGTAGCTTGTTTCGCCGACAAAAGCAAAATTAAAAAAAATCCAAACTTTTAGTGTTTACTAGGTACATTTGACTACGAGCTAAGCATTCAGTTAACCTTCGACGGTTAATATCTAAATATATGAAACTTCTAACGATTTCTGAAATCGCTATCCGCCCCCTACACCTGCTGCAGCGAATCAGCGCTCTCCACCCTAAACTACCCTTTCACCGACCAATAGAGGGCGAGAAATCTGGCGCCGCTATATCGGTTCGCCTGTTCCTAAATCCCGTCCCTCTATATTTGAGTCTTAAAGTCTTCGTGACAGGGTTTAAAATACGGATAAACCTAAAATTAATAATCGGGTACACGATACTCGAGGGTTGCTGTTATGATATACATGATTTCATTTAGTACAATCTGTCACTCTGCCGTACTTGGCTGGCTCGCGTTTTCCGTGTGCTGACCAGGAAGGAAGTCAACGAGCCGTTGAGCTTGCAATTTCATTCAGTGGTACATACCAGGTCTCAAGATTCATTTCCCGCTGATGTCATACGGCAGCGAGACGCCGCAAGTTTGGAGCAGCTCAGGAGTAAGTATTCACTCAGAGCACTCGTGTTAAAAAAGTTTCAAATCTCCGGTGGCGTTCGATGAGATATAGGCGTAAAGGGCTTCATTCGATTTCCGTAAAAACTGTTTCGCATTTCGACAAACGGCGATCTCATTACGCTTTGATTCCAATTGTAAGCTTAGGCTTTTGCTTGACGGCATAACAATAATTGATTATCCGATGACATATTGGAACACCTCATATCGCTGTGACAGTCAACTCGTTAATGATAATGTTTCACCAGATCACGAGGAAAACGCACAGGAAATACTGCAGCTTTAAAAGTTTAAAGCCGAAAAATGATAACTGTTTCCTGTCTATGCCTTTATGTGCGAACTGGATATTGAAATTGGTGACATTTCGTTAATTTCTTCACAAAGTTTCCTCTATTTTAATCCTGTATATGATAATAAATATCATCATTCTGGGCGTTATCTTTCTGTTAAAAGCCTGTATTTTACTTGAATAATTTTAATTACTTTTAATTCAGATATTAGTTTCGAAGAAGGATAATTTTATAATTTATTGAATGATATGTAGTCACGTATGTTTTGTTCAATAATGTAATTTGGCTTTGGGAAATGTTACTCGACCAAATTTTGTCCTTGAGCAGAATTAATTAAATAATAATATGAAACAAGGATACTTGACCAATATAATGGATAAATAATGATGTTAAATACTAATATTCTGTTTTTTTACAATGCAATTATTTAATGAAAGCCATGGTGAACTTTAATATTTGCATTTTTTTATGTGAAAAGTTGTCAACCGAGCAGCCGGTTCACCTGATGTTAAGTTAATACTGCCGCATGGACATCTGCTACACCCGAGGGTTGTAGATGCGTTTACAACCTATAAAAATTTGGGCTCCAGCCACCTCACTCACCAGACGAAACGCGAAAGTATTATACTTCCACTTTACGCCGGTCTTCTGTGAGGTGGTGGTACTTACCCGGACGAGCCTGCCCATTCGTGCAACAGCCGAGGTTGCAGCGTGACCCTACTTACACTGTAATTGTTTCTAATTTCACCAGGAATATGTGCTATTTGACTTGGGGCTGGTCTAAGAGTGATTGTATTTACCCTCTGTAGAGAGGCTGACTTTACTTTCGTTTGAAAATTAAGAAGGATAATTAATTTAATTAAATCCCCGCCTTAAATGGACGGTTATTTGATCGTCGAATTTTTAAAAAGAAGCATTAAAAGAGGAAGTAGGAATTATGAACATTTTATTCCCATTTTCAGTAGTGTTGTATCGGTATTAGTATTGCATGTTAAATGATAATCAACGAATGGTTCAAAAGAGGCAATAAAAGAGGTCTTATGGATTATCAACAAATAATAGGAGGTTGAAATATTATTTGTCTTACTCTATAATACTTGGGTTATTTCAACCTATCTTAGACACCTTTGTGGTAAGTGTATCAACCTTACATTAAGATGGAATATATTTGATTTTTATGGATGATTCGGATTTTATTATGAAAATGGTTCATAATAAAATTAGAAACCTTCGAGTAAAGCCCTAATGGAAACAGACTGAAACCAAAACATAACGTTAAGCTGATTTTGGCCATTATTAAAGAAATGCCTGTATTTATCTGATATAAACTCTATATTTATTCTTCAAAAAAGAGCTGTCCGAGCAATCTATAACATCGGAGCCCGGAATACACTTAGAGACCTTTTTAAAGAGATTAATATACTCACTGTTGCGTCTCAATATATTTATTGTAATATTTTATATGTTAAACATAATATTAATAATTATCTAAAGAATAGTGACAGACATAAACTAAATACTAGAAATAAGGACAAACTAACTACGCCATTGTTACGTCTACAAAAAGTAAACAGGTCGTTCATGGGGCAAAGTGTGCGCATGTATAATAAAATCCCACAGTCGATATTTTAAGTCTGCCACTTGATGAATTTAAACGAAAAGTTAAAAGTAAACTTATGGCTAAAGCATACTATACTATTGCTGAATATCTTGACGACGCCAATGTGTGGGGTTAATACTGTTGATACTCACGTAGGCTAAAACAAGACTATTATACCTGTAACATTATATTGTAAACTGACCTTTTAAAAAAAGAGCAACTGTTGAGTTTCTTGCCGGTTTCTTCTCAACAGAAACTGCTTTCCGAACCGGTGGTAACTTACGAACATATCAATTAATTTCCTTGTAAAATTTCGACTTTTCATAAGAACGCGCAAGCGTCTATGTGAATAAAGATATTTTATTATTATATTATTATGTTGGGGATATTTCTTTGTTTTCTCGTCTGGTTGGGTTTATAGATAAAAATAAACATATAGATATATATTGCATATATAAAATAAATATTATGAATAAAAATAAACATAGATATAAATATTGTATATAATACATATATAAATAGGACCCAACCAGACGGAAGCCCTCGGCAGGGGAGACCAAACGGCCGAGGGTTAGGGTGAGAGGGAGAGAAACCGGCGGACGATGCGGGCGGTATCGAGGAGCACCGCCTTCTGCATTTGAGCTTGGAGCGATCCGTCCCGGAGTCCCAGTCGCCTCAGATGTTAGGAGAGGCTGACTGGGATTAACCCATTCGCAGACACGACTATCGGGATAATTTCGGTCGACACACCACCCCACATGTCGGTCACCTCGTGAGCCAGGTCCAGATACTTTGTCTTCTTATCTGTTTGGCTTTCACGAGGTTCTCGTCATATGGAATGGTAATGTCGACCAAAAATACCCGCGACTGTGCCCGGTCCATCACCACGATGTCAGGTTTGTTCGCGACAATCGTCCTGTCCGTGATGATGGGCCGGTCCCAATATAGCCTGGCGCGGTCATTTTCGAGCACGGCCTCCGGAGAGTACTTGTAGTACGGCAGTTTCCAATCCACGAGGCCGTATTTCAGAGCGAGCTCCTGGTGTAGGATTTTGGCTACTAGGTTGTGTCTATGCAGATACTCAGAGTTAGAAAGCATGGAACAACCGGAAATAACATGCCGAAGCGACTCCCCGGGATGGCGACAAGCTCGACAGATGTCGACGGTGCCATCCCTTAGGATGTATTTCCGATAGTTGTTCGTTGTAGGCTGCACACCTCGCGATTGTGCATGGTGAGGGCGCTTAAAAAGCCCCTCCCTCCATGCTTCCGCGGCAGGTACAGCCTCATCACTGACGATCTCGGATGATGCATCCTGCGGAAAGTCATAGTTGTACGGACTTTTCGGTCCAGGGCGTTGAGCTCAGTTTGAGTCCACCTGAGTATGCCAAAAGTATACATGAGGACTGGCATGACCCAGCCGTTAAATGCGCGCGCCTTGTTCACGCCTGACAAATGGCTGTTAAACACCTTTGTCGAACGTGCAAAAAAACATTAAGTTATTAAATATTATTATTATTATTATACGATTTAGAAAAATATTTTTCATCAACAGTTTTGAAGCCGCCATTGAGGTTTTGGAAGGGTTATGTACATTTTTTAGATAGTCTGTTTTGATATTATTTACGGAACTCCGATGTTTCTTCACTTACTCCTAAAATATTTTATCTAAATAAGAAACTTGAGCTCTCATTGAAGTCGAAAGATGATTTAGAACTTCAAACATTTATATTTTCTATAAAAACATTAATATAAAAATGCAAAGAAAGAGGTGTCGTATGGACACTTTTTTGTTAATTTTTTGTGTTAAGTAATAATCGGCCTTAAAAATCACTGCAAAACGATGTCGGTTTTTCGGTGTCTTTTTTACATTGTAACACATTTGTGGTCTGGCACCTTAGCCCGCATAAAAATCAGAATGATAACGTCTTAAAATAACCTACAGCATCAAAGGCGTTGAGTTTTATTCATCGTTTATATCTCTTAATCAGGTCAAGCTCATCTAATCTGGTTTCTACCCTATTAGCCGTTACAATATGCAACCTAAGTTTGGTTATTAATTACCTTTTGAATATGTTTTGTAATTCTTTCTCCCCAGGGAAACGAGGTGTCACCTTACGGGCCTCTGTGGGACGCCCCCCCCAGCTTCGGTGGCTTACCCGGACATTCTGGCATTCCCACCAGCCGACCTAGGTAATGCTATATTTATGTTATACATCAGCTATTTTCACATTCTGTTGAGGTATAGTGCATCTGACATAAATTCTATATTTATTCTTCAAAAACCAGCCGAGTGCGAGTCGGACTCGCAGACGAAGGGTTCCGTACCATTGTCAATAAAATGGCATAAAAATCATGTCAGGGTTCATTAGATACAGCCTGGTGACAGACGGACAGACTGACATACACCGGAGTTAAAACTCCGCTCACTCCGCCGGGACCCCATTACTCCCGTTTTACTTTTTAGTGTCCGTTTTTGAATTTGAGTACTAACACATTTTTTTTATGTGAGAAAGTGGCAAACAAGCTGGCGGTTCGCCTGATGTTAAGAGATAACCGTCGCTCATGCACATTTGCAACACGTACGGTTGTAGATGCGTTGGCAACTTTTAACAAAGTTAGCCCCGGCTGCCTTACTCACCAGATGAAACGCAGAAAGAAGTGTAGCAGTTCTACTTCACGCCGGTCTTCTGTGAGGTCGTGGTACTTACCCGGATGGACTTGCCCATTCGCGAAGATTATTGTATGGCCATACCACAGTAAAGTTTAATCCGCAAAATTCGAATAGATTTATTTATTTATTTAAAAAGGACACCGGCAATACATTATATCCAACCTTTCAGTAATAGTAGTGGACGCTGAGTGGTCAAAATTGAACCATAATTAATTACAAATTATAAGTTTGAACAATATTAATTTATTCTCAAATACAGTACACAATAAACAAAAGAGTACCTATATATGCGTGTGCGTGTCAAATACATGGTAATGTGTGTAGTGTTTTCGATATAGATTTAATATATTTTTATGTATAATTAAAAAAATATTAGCATTCTGCATTCCTTCTCTATATAAACTATAAGTGTGGAAAATTTCATGCACCTCCGACGGCGCAATTTTCGTAAAAAGGGGTTCAAAGCTTTGCTTCACGTATTAATATAATATATAATAAGCATAGAAATCCTGATCCTTTATTAGGTGACATAGCATTGTTACATCGGTAAATAAAAAGCATGAGCAAGAATAATAAATGCAAAAATATAACAATTTCAGTATTAAAAATAAAAAATAAGAAAAAAAAAATGTAAATACAATAATACAGAATGAATTACAATAATCCAAATTAAAACTAAAATTATACGATTAGTAATTAAAACATTAACGGGCGTGACTCAACATTACTCTATTGAATTTATTTAAACTAAAATGGAATAAAAAGTATAATGGTTAGTTCTTCACAAATAGCACTGTAGATAACAATATAAGTGGTCGTAATAGATTAACAGGTAAGTTTTGGTCTTCTAGCTAGATTTCTTAGTAATTTATTACTTAAGTTAAAGAGATCGTGATTATTTCCAAACAAATTCTCAAAAAAAAAAAAAACTTCTTATTAGTAAAATATTACCATAGACAACATTTCATAATCAAGCACCAATGGTTTTGCTAAACACTTCTTGTTGAAATTCAATTCATCAACCGACTTCAAAAAAGGGAACTTTTTTTTTTGTGTTTGTTGCTTTCGACTGAGTGTACCGATTTTGATGCTTTTGTTTTTATTTGAAAGCTGGTGCTTTACATGTGGTCCCATATTAATTTCATTGGTATTGGATCTTGGGCTCCGGAGATACGCAGGGAACGAGTGAAAATTAATTGTAAAATGAATACAAAGCAAGATATTTGAAGTCGGTTTTTTTTTGTTAATACAAAATGGACTTGTTACTTTAGTACTGAGGACAAAAATAATGTCAACTTTATACAATAGTTTATAGTGATACATGTAATAAGTTTGTTGGTACGCGGGTTGGTCTTAAGCGACAGAATCTATCAAATTACGATAAAGCTTTTTTTGGTTGATTGAGCGGTTCTAAAGCTTAATTTTTACAGAAAAAGTTACATTTTCAAAGTCAGTCAAAAGTTCTGTAATCTATATTCAATATAGGCTTATTTTAAGATCTTATTGAAAGTCGATAGACTACCACCGGTTCACTAAACTAGAGCTGTCCAGTTTTTTTAAAGTATACAAAATTCAATCAGTATTGAACCCACGACGCCTGGTGCCGAAGCTAGTATCTTTGTAACTGCATCACCTAGTCTTCTGAAATGTTCTAAATTAATGAGTTTAATGTTATCCGCACAAAATTGAAAGGTGGTAGCGTTTTGACAATCAAAAAATGTAATGCTTCTATATTGAATAAAGGTGAATGAATGAATGAAGGAATATTCTTTGTTGCGCACACCATGGTAAAAAAGAATACATTAAAAATAACAATTATGCAAGGGTTGTACAATGGGCGGTCTTATTACTTAAAGCAATTTCTTTCAGGCAACCTTTGGATGGACATAATATGAAAAGAGTATTTTAGGGGTGTGGGTAAAATTCTACAAATTTTATAAGATAAATACATACTTTGTTATAAAAAAAAATAAGTACATAAATACCTAAATAAATCTATATATCATATAAACATATATCCATAAACGCAGTTAATTTATTATATATCAGAGACATATACATTATATCAGAGACACACCTAAATACAATACATTCTATATCTAAACCAGATTTAAAGTGACAAATAGTGACTCTTGTCAAGATTTTTAAAAGTGGAAAGTGACTGAGCACGTCTCTCCTCCAGAGGCAGGGCATTCCATAATTTCGCACCTTGAACCATAAAGGACTAAGTAAAGGTATTTGTTGGTTTGATTTTATTTGATTTTTTTGATTGCAGTATGGTCGGCGGCTGGCTGTGGTGCGCGCGGCGGCGCCAGGGCCACGCCAGGAGGAAAGAAACCGCGGCGTCGCGTCGCATCGGTGGCTCAGCGGCGCGCGGCCAACATACGGGAGCGACGTCGCATGTTCAATCTGAACGAGGCCTTCGATAAGCTTAGGCGAAAGGTAACGTAGAACAAGCTACTTTGGCTATACTGAAGAGTGGTATTATTGAAAAAAATATTTTTTCATCAGGACTAAATAAGAAACAACTTTTAATTACATTCGCTTCCATAAAATCCTTCTCCTACCATTTCCGATTTAATTGGAGAGAACTGTAAAGACATACACCGAGCTGAAACGGTGAAGTAACCTGAGTGCGGTTATTGACCAAAACTACAGATTCAAAGATATTCCTGACTCACGCTCTGTGAGTTAAAGAATAATTGTAAATTCTCCAAGCTAATTTTTAAGTACCATTTAACAAATTTCGTTAAAAATATTTCGTTAGTATTAACGATTTATTTTTAACGATAACCTATCGCTTTCTGTCAAAATATTTCCTCAATTTCACGTAAATTCTGACGCTCCATTATTATATAAGTTCTCCATAAGAACGGGCAAGCGTCTATGTGAATAAAGATATTTAGAATTGAATTGAATATTTATCATCATATTCGACTACGACAATTACTTGACCATAACGTCGTTAGGTGACTCAAACATCCGGATAGCCTATAAAAGATTCGATAGACTATCGTTAATCTGCTCCTAAGAATTGAAGAGTTACGTTACTTCTCCATGGATCCCATAATCAGAATCTAACGAAACTCTCATCAAACTACCCTTGAAGTAAATCCTTTCCAATAAAAAAATAATGATCGAAATCGGTAGACGTGATATTGAGTTATTCGTCCATTTGTCCCATACGTACTTAATTTAAGACTTATATTGTTTTCTCATGGACGCCATTGTTAGAACTGGACTGAATTGAAATAAGACCACACGGGACACATCAAATATCAAATAAAAAATCATCAAAATCGATTGACCCAGTCGAAAGTTCTGAGTATGTAACAAACAATAAACAAAAAAATACGTTCGAATTAATAATCGAGAACCTCGAAATAATAATTTAGAGCCTCCTCTTTTATTAAGTCGGATAAAAACAGGACAAGCTATTTTTTTTTTTTTTTTTTTTTTTTTTTTTTTTTTTTTTTAGAAAAGTTGTCAAACGAGCAGACGGTTCACCTGATGTTAAGTGAATACCGCCGCCCATGGACATCTGCTACACTCGAGGGTTACAGATGCGTTGACAACCTTTTGAAAATTGGGCTCCGGCTACCTCACTCACCAGACGAAACGCGAAAGTATTTGTCATACTTCCACTTTACGCCGGTCTTCTGTGAGGTCGTGGTACTTACCCGGACGGGCCTGCCCATTCGTGCAACAGCCGAGGCTGCTGCGTGGCCCTACCTCTAGAAAATGGATTCATTGTGGCAATGTTTCCAGGTGCCGACGTTCGCTTACGAGAAACGGCTCTCGCGCATCGAGACCCTGCGCTTGGCGATCACTTACATCAGTTTCATGTGCGAACTGCTTCATGGATCTCCTCAGCCGCATCACCAATCGCACCCTGGTCTGCACCCACCGAGGCACGTCTTCGAGGCGGAGGTTCCTTGGTGTGCTTAGGGGCCCACACCAGCAGTGCTGACCAGTTCATAGGGACACCTGGCCCTTGAAGCGACACGCACCAACGTATAGACTTATCTCTCGATGTAGTCTATTTTCAGAGAAAATAAGCGCTTAACTATTAGTGTGCACATCATTGTAAGATGTAATGTTCTAGCGTCTACTATTTATTACTCAATACTTCACGTACTATGCGTTATTTTAGTTTTATTTTATATAACACTAGCTGATACCCAGGACGCTGCTTATTATATAAATAACTGCATGGATTGATCCATCACATCTATTCAGTTGTTTTTTCGTGATGCGCTTACAACGTAATGCGTCTATCATTTTATTTCTATAAATCATATTACTGTTATAAAGCAAATTGAATGTCTGATGAAAATTGAATAATAGGAAGACTAGGCAGTCTCTGGACTATCTGTGTGTTTTGTTATGTTTAAAAAAACATTGTATGTTCTTTTTAAGGATTAATAAAAGTGAATGACACTTAACAAGTGTTGTACGGACCGGAGTGGCAAAGAAAATGTTTTTCCGAGGCCTATACGAAAAACATTTCAGAGCTTCAAGCAAGTTACACATATAATACTGATAATTCTATGTACTCGTATGAGTATCGCTTCAGCTCTCGATAAACCCAATGGGACGTTGTGTCCCTTTATCTTAATTGCGGGTTTTTACTCTAGAGAGCAATGATCCTCTAGAGTAAAACCCGTGATTATTAGGAAGGAAGATACTAAGCCAATGTCCTACATATTATCACAGGAATAATTATTGTATCATGTTCAGCAACAATTCGTCATTGGAAATGTGACGCAAGAGGCTAAGTGTCATCTTGCGAGTATGCAGTTATTTTACATTGCTTGTATTAAGGGAATGTGCCATTTATATGCGAGGGTACACCGTATATTTTTCCGTAGTATTTCAAGTAGATATAATTAAATGTCTTCCATTATAGTTAACATTGTAAATATTTTGTAACTAATAAATATTATGTCCATATTTCGCTCATTTATATTCTAGTCAACATGTGCTTTTTTGTTCCAATATTTTCAGCAACCAAAACCAAAAAAGTTTAAAAAATACAAACCACTTTTTTCATTAAATTGTTTATAACTTTTGCAATATTTTGCTAACGAGCGGAACTTCACTATGCATCCAATGACACCTTATTCATGGTTTTCGCAGACTACTGAATAAAGTTGAACCAAAAAAGCACATGTTGGCTAGACAATTAGTGTCTCCATTTCCTTTACATTACATTGTTAAATTATCATTAATGTTGATTGTATTTATTGCCATTGATAAATTATTTTTGTAATTGCTTATACAATAAACTAATACAGACAATATTACCTATTGATTAATGCTTTCTAGTTAACGTATACTGCAAAATTAACAAATGTTTTAAATTATTTCTTCAATCAATCCAAATATCCTTTTAATTACGGTTATACATCAAATTAGTTTGAGATGTAATTGTAAATAAAAAGAATTGATGTTAAATTCATCAACTTTTTTATTTCGAAGTTCATTACACTAATTCTTATCACAACAGGTATCTAAGTGATGAAGTGTATGTAGCAGTAATGAACTTTTTATTTAAGGAAGTATACACTGTTACGTCTGTTTCTGTTTGGTTAAGCAATCCTTATGTAAGAAATTTATCATTTCCTAGTTTTTTCAGTGGTAGATGTTCTTTTTTAAATAAGCTTAAGTTATGGCTTCTGTTGCAGTTATATTAACCAGCAAGGTTTGTCTATAAATAACGTTTCAACAATATTCGTTTTTATGTTTAATGTCCACTATATTCATATATTCTAATACACGAAAGCTAATATTCTATGTGCCACAACTAAATTACTCTTATGATACATGCTTTTGCGTTTCATCTGGTGAGTGAGGTAGCCGGAGCCCACTTTAATTTATTAAAAGGTGGCAATGTCAATGGTCGGCAGTTATCACTTAACACTAACGTGAAGCGCTAGTTCGCTTGCCGCTTTCTCACTTAAAAAAAAACGTAGCTGTCGTCAGCTTTGTTTATAATATAAGTACCTGGAGGACCGAGCTTTGCTCGGTTTTTTTTAGTAAATCAATGTTTGAAAATAAAATAAATAAAAAATAAAGAAAGCAATGATCTGGTATAGAAAAAAAAGTAAAAAAAAAATAAGTGTGTAAAGGGCTTAAGGAAGCAAACTACTAAGGAAAAATGTAACCTAATTTGGGTTTGATATCAATGAGAAAAAAAATTGCCGAATTTGATGGACAGGAAAAAATAGCAAGCAAGCTGGGTAAACTAGATACGCAGACTTACATATATTCACCTTTGTATTCAGTTTAAAAACGAGTGAGGCCAATAACAATAAATTGTAGTGACACAGAGACCGGGAAAGTCGGACGTGTCAGCACAAAATGTTAGTCGTATCAACGATATTCGCGGCCCTTGTAATCGGTGTTACAAATGGTTTAAGTAAGTCTCCATATTTTTTATTAACATCGTTTTATTTGCTTCACTTTAATTTCATCCACTTCGAGTTGTGTCATTAAAGAAAATTAATTGTTATGTGTTAGCTAAGAGCCGTGATAGCCAGTGTCCGGGCGCTCGCCTTTAATTCAATATACTCGAGCAACCTGAGTTCGATCCCCGGTGCCGGCACCAATGAAGTTTTTAACTTTAAGTGCTGACTTATCACGTGCTCCGCGGTGAAGGAAAACATCGTGGAAACCTGCACATTTTCGAAATAATAACAAAAAAAATATATTTCGATAATATGTGAAGTCCGCCTATCCGGAGTGGGGTCGCGTGGTGGACTATGGTCTGATACCCTCTGTATAGAGGAGGCCTTCCCAGCAGTGGGACATGTATAGGCTGTATTTACTTTACTTATGTGAGGCCAATCCACAGTGGGGCCGCGTGGTGGACTATGCCCTGATACTCTCTGTATAGAGGAGGCCTTTGCCCAGCAGTGGGACATGTATAGGCTGTTACCTTTTAATTGTTATGTGTACAATTTTAGCCGATAAGTATTATCGTTATACGATGGTTAATGATGGCTGCCTTACCGCCAATTAGTAGTCATATCTCAGAGTCAGTGTCAACTCTTCTCACTCTTTAAAGTTCCTGTGCAAAAACTAGATGGCGTTGTTAAATTGCTAAAATGCGTTATATACATATTTTCACAAGTTAATTAAGGGACAAGCGCCGGCCATTTGCATTTTAATAATAATATTGCGAATTTCTGCGATTGAGATTTTAGTCTTCCTCGGTATACGGATGCTCTTGATTTTGCTTTGCGATTTGGTTAGTTGTTAGGGACAGTGGTGGATTTCCCTGAAGGCCGAGTACGCCCGGGCCAAATGTAGGGGGCTGCAAATTAGTGTGATTTTTTTAAGTAGCCTCGCTCGCCTTTCGCCCCTCGCTTCTTAGCATAGGCGATATTCCATAAAAATTATATAATAAAAAATAAATCAAGCTGGCCATATTAATAGGTGCCATTCTTTGGCTCAATGATATCATGGACTAACTTTCTTTGTTTTTTATTCTAATTTTAATTCGTTTAATTTTTTGTGCTTTCCAGCGAGTAGGGGGTGGCAATCTTTAATTTGCCTATGGTGACCAACGGATCAAATCTGTGCTGTTTAGCAATAAAGATAAAATATTTATTTGGCTATTCGAATATTACTGATTTTGCTTTGTAGTTCTCACTGACTCACAAATTGTACCTGATATTTTTTTTGTAAGTAATATACTTAATTGTTGGTATTTTCTAAATAATTGAATATTTGTAAAAAAAAATTAGATTAGGTTAGAATTAAAAAGAATGAGAACGATTGGATCTTTTTTTTTCCTGATTCTGGAAGAAAAGAAAACATGTCTTAGTGCTGATAGGGACCGCCATTCATTTTCTCGCACATTGGAGTCAGTGATAGACTGAATTTTGACTAAGCGCCCGTAGAGGCCGTTAATTGAACACTACAGTACATACGCCGAGATGAATGCCCAATGGGGAACGTCACGGTTCTTTTCTCTGGCGATTTTCGCTACACCCTTCCTGTACACTATTACGAATTGTCCTTATCTCTGGTCTCAAAAATATGTTACAGTTGACAACTATCGTACGAACTCAGTTTACATGTCCAAGAATTTTCCGATGCTTTGTTAATATTGGAGAAGGCAGAATGGATATCCTTTCAGGGAATAATGGTCTGGTTTGTCGTCCTTGGTAGAGTTATTTCCTCCGAAAACACAGTGATAAGTATTCGAAGAACTTTCAAGTGTTCACATAACTAAAAATTTACCTGATGTGGTATCAGAAAATTTCTTGGTTATGTAAACGCGTTATGCTCACTGCAAGCATAAACAAGCAACTACAATAAATGCAAAATATAACAGAATCTTTTATCAAGACAACGCCACAAATTAGTCGGTTTAGTTTATAAGTTCGCTTACTGCAAGTGTCCTTCCTGCGCACAAAACCAGAAAATAAAATAAAACAAATTGAACATCAATAACAAAAATAGACGTTTAAATTGTGAATACCACTCGCTTGATCACTCCGTGGCGCAGTTGGCAACCTCGGCGTGAGTTCCCAAACGTTACAATTATTTGTGTGACGCATAATAATTGTTTCGGATCTGGGTATTTAAAAAAAACACAAGAGAAAATTATGCTTATTCTCAACAACCGCCCATTCCAATTAAAGCGTACAAAATTCCCAGCCTCAGCTTTCTTCGCGATGATAAGTCTCAGAGACAGATCTTAAAGGCCGATTGTTCATGGCGTGCTCGCGGGTCATTAGCGGTCAGGGCCTCGGCTGTTGCACGAATTGGCAGGCTCGTCCGGGTAATTACCACGACCTCACAGAAGACCGGCGTAAAGTGATAGAAGTATAATATTTTTGCGTTTTGTCTGGTCAATGAGGCAGCCGGAGCCCAATTTTCAAATGGTTGCCAACGCATCTGGAAGCCTCGGGTATAGCAGATGTCCATGGGCG